CGGGGGGGGGGGGGAAGCTGGAAGCGACGTTTACCTTCAACGGGCACAATCGGGCATCGATCGAATCGTAATACGCCGTAAACGAGATTACGTTCTCTAGCTCGAGGACGGCGGTGCGTGGACCCTTGTCGGATTAAAGTTCTCCAAATCAAAGGTCCGGCCTCGTCGACGACCGATGCGAACCCGATCGTGCCCGTTCCCATCAACGATATTGGATTGACAGCGAGTAAGTTGAACAAACGGCGAGCGCGGCCCAGGCTGTCCACTCCTATCCTTCTCTCGTTCTCGGTTTTTTTTCATCAGGCGAATTGACACTTGACCCCATCGTGACTTTTTCCCTCCGCCACGTGCACCCGTTTGGTCTTTATCAAAGTAACGAAATGCTGTAGGAAGCGGAATTGAGTTATAATCTAGATTTTAATTTAGAATTCACGACATTAGGTGCGCGTTGATTAAATCTATCATTCTCTGATATTACGCTATCTGAACATGGTAATTAGAGAACACTCTAATTCATGCGTTTTTATTTTTAGCTACTTATTACATTACTTCAGATGGTCGCTTATATATTTTTAATACTTTTTTTTTTAAGTACAATTGAGAAGATCGACGATAAAAAGACAGAAGTATAACTAAAGACTGCGAAGTATCAAGGTACATGTGTTATGTGTATTGTAAAAACATTGCGCTGTTATGATTGAAGGCACGAGAAAATATTCAAGCTATCAAAGTTTTAGCGATAATTGTTATTATACCTTGTAAGCTAGAATTCACGCTTGACCGATTCGTATTGTTAAACTGACACACACCTACTTACAGAACGTCAATATCGCGACATGTACTTTGTTCGACGACTTTTGTTATCCGACAAGCTGTGGAAAATCGCGATACAAAGGGAGGTCCGCTATACAATGGTGGGTGTTTGTGACAGCGTTATGATCTAGGATAGTATCAGTTAATAGCGAAGAATCTCAGAGAGAGTCAAAGAGGAAGGGGCGGCAAAAAAAGAACGAGCTCCGTATGTTCAACGTTAATGAAATGTTTGATTTTTTAATCATGCTTAAAAACATAAAAACGAGGAGATAAATGACTCATCAGCCACGACGATCCACAGTCAAAATAAATCCCCCTGTCATACTCGGCTTATTAAACAAACGTAAGCTTTTGCGCAAACACAGTCTCTGTTATGTTGTTGCATTTAAGCCTCGCACTAATGAATCTCTGAACAAATACAACGATAAAGATGAATTTACATTGTTGTTCTTGCTATTCATCTTGGTAAATTGCTAGTGCATGATTTTCCAATAATAAAAATAAAAGTGTATTTTTTATATAATATAAAAATGCGCTAAGGATTAATAAACATGGAAGGTATAAAAAATTTTGTAATCAATTGCAATCGATATTTGATACAATCAAACTTTGATTTTTCTCATAATAATGAAAATAATTAAATATCTTTGATCAATTTCGTTAACGATTCAACAGTTTTAAACCAATTTGAATTTATCGAGTAATATTTCGAGCTTGCTCGAAATTGAAAGAGAAAATTCATTCAACTTTACTCATATTTTACCTGTTATCCACACATTTCTATCGTGCCGGAAATTCCGCTGAACTGTTTTCTAAAACAGTTTCCTCTAATCGTTGAATCGACGAGGAAACATAAAGTAACTCACGAACGTGATTAAATATTTAGAGACGCTACGGCAATTTTCTATATCTATTCTACATATATAAATGTGCAGATGTGCAAAACACGTTTCTCGTCCCGCTTTACTGCGATAGGAAATTGCTCATAAATTAATTGCGAAAAACTCTTTTACGAAAAATTGTTTAAATATCGAGCATAATATTATGTACATATACGTTAGTGCTGAATTATTATTATGAGACTTTATATGAATATATTTTTAAACATTAATTGCAGACACATTTACATACTACGCCGTGAACACTCAACTTCTCTTGAATATCCCATTTTGAATGTCCCATTTTTCATTAGCATTCGTTATAGTTTTAAAAAGAAACGGAGATATAACGTGGTAGTTGGATATTACATAATGTAATAAGTATAAATAGACCTCACAAATTAAATATTTGACTAGATAATAAATAACAATATTTAAAAAAATTTTTATGTTTGCTAATGTTTTTATTCATTTAGTTTTTTTCTAAAAATATTCTAAAAATATTAGATTTTTAAAAATAGGTCTTTTAT